GAAGGTGGCAGGTAACGAATTTTGGGGGTTTTTTTGTTAATTTTTGTTAATTTTGGGGCCCCCCTTTTAGTTTTGGGGGTTTTTTCCCTCATTCTTTAATTTTGAGGACCCCTCCCAATTAATTCTGGGACTCCTCCCAATTAGTTTTGGGGGCCCCCCCCCTTTAATTTTGGGGTTTTTTTGGTGCCTCCCCTTTAAGTTTTGGGCCCCCCCCCATTAATTTTGGGGTCACTTTTCCCTCCGCCCTTTAATTTTGGTGCTCCCCCCTTTAATTTTGGATTATTCTGGCCCCTCCCCTTTAATCTTGGGACCCTCCCCCATTAATTTTTGGTCTCTCCCTTTAATTTTGGGGTTCCCTCCCCTGGAATTTTGGGATTTTTGTGGCCCCTCCCCATTAATTTTGGGGTCCCCCATTAATTTTGGGGTCCCCCCCAGAGCCCCCCCCGAGTGACTCCGACCCCCCCGGGGACCTCGTGGACGTCGAAGGATTTGGGGACCCCCCCCCCAAGAAGCTGAACTTCGACCAGGGTACGGTTTGGGGGGGGGGGGACCCCAAAAAAAACCCCAAACCCAAAAAAACCCCCAAAATTTGGGGGGCTCCCCCTACTTTTGGGGGGGTCCCCTCACCCCTTCCCCTTTTTCCAGCAGCCTGAAATTGGAGCCCTCTCTTGGAACCCCCAAAACTTCTCGGGGGGGGTCCCCAAAACCCCCTGGACCCCCCCAAATTCCTCCCTGAACCCCCAAACTTGGGAGGTCCCCAAATCTCCCTCAATTTTGGGGTCCCCCCTCCCAATCTTTGGGGTCTTCTCTCAAGAGACTCCTCCCAGTTTTGGGGGGCCCCCCCCTTTGTCGCCCCCAATAAAATTTTGGGGTGTCCCCCCCGCTTTGTCTCCGTGTCGTGTTTTGGGTCTTGGTTCGATTGTGGGGTTCCCCCCTCCCCAAAATTTGGGGTCCCCCCCATTTTTTGAGGTCTGTCCCCATTTTTAGGACCCCCCCCCCCCCCCCCACTTGTTCTCGATCT